ACTACGAAACTTATGAGAGACATCAAGAGTTTTAGAATCAGGTAAGATAAAAGGAGGAATAGTAATAGAGTGTTTAGATTTATTAAAACAAATTAATTCAAACTTAGAAGGATTAAGTTTAAGAAACATAGAATCAGACCAAGCGATAATCGAAGAAAGACATAGAGATAAATTATGAAGAACACTATTGAGATTAGATGGAGGAAAAGAAGTATAAATATAAGAATCATCAGCATATAGTTGACTAGAGAAAGAAAAGTTATTAATAATACGATGTAGTTCAGAAGTATAGAGTATAAATAGAAGAGGGCCAAGGATAGAACCCTGAGGTACCCCGAAAGTAAGAGTAGGGGAGTTAGAAGTAGAATTATTGAGAACAACAGAAGAAAAACGATTACAGAGATAAGAAGAAAACCAAGATAGACAAGAATCAGTAATACACCGAATGGGTTAAATCTGTTGAACCCTATACTTGGAATAATATAATTGAACAATAAATAAAATATAGTAAATTAAATAAAAAAATTAATACTTAAATATACATATATGATAGACATATTATAAATTTAGCAATAATTATTATTATTATTATCGCTGTGGTTCTTCTTGCTTCTTGTGATGATGTTCCATTTGCAAGTGATATTTGCGCTGTGGGTTGTGGCGTTGGTATCTACAGTGTTGGCACTGTTGTTGTTGTTGTTATTGTTGATGCTATTGTTGTTGTTGATGTTGTTGTTAGGGTTGTCACTATTGATGATGTTCCAATTGCAACTGATATTTGCGCTGTGGGTTGTAGCATTGGTATCTACAGTGTTGGCACTGTTGTTGTTATTGTTGATGTTGTTGTTGATGTTGTTGTATGTATATATATATATATATATATATATATATATATATATATATTATTGGTTTTATAGGTAATCTATTGCCTGCTATAAGCCAAATGTAAGTTTCGTCTCTCACGAGACTCGTCAGTCGCCTGCCTAATAAGGTTTAAGATAACACAACTCAATTATTATAACTTAAAATTATTAAAACTGAAGTGTCACGACCAATAGGTAAGAACAACATCGCGTTGTTACAAGGTTTAAAAACCCATTCAGTCGCAAGAGGCATTATTGGTAAACCATTACCAGCCAATAGGTAAGCATCGGTTTGTGTATATATATATATATCGGTGCATCCCTTATATATATATATATATATATATATATATATATAAGGGATGCACCGAAGTTCGGCCCCGGTTCCGGTCAAAATCCGGCTTTTTTTCAAATCCGGTCGAATCCGGCCCCGGCCGGATTTGTTGGCCGGATTTAGGGCCGGATTTAAGCGTCTATCAACTTTTAAAAATGTTATAAATAGAAAAAAAAGTTTTATTGAATTCAATTAATTTTATGTCAATAAGTTAAAGACTAAGGCTAAGCTAAACGCATAAATGACACATAATAACAGCATCACTAATTGTGAGGTGATCTGGACAATTTTCTTTATGCTATAACATGGGTTATGTATAAATTATAAGCTGATCTTTGTGTAAAAGAACTTGTGCACGTGTACATACTATATATTGATAATTGCACATGACGGATCATATAGCTACATAATATATATATATATATATATATATCTTTATATATATATTTTTTTAGAGATATATATATATATATATATATATATATATATATATAAGCACATAATTTAAGAACATGGTATGTTAAAGGTTAGGCTAGGTATACATGACACATAATTACAACATCACTAATTGTGCGGTGAGCTGGACAATTTTCTTTGTGCTTTAACATGGGTTATGCAAATATGCATAAATTATAAGCTGATCTTTGTGTACACAATTTGGCGTATCACACAACTTATTCATATATTTGAATTAAATAACTATTTGCTTGGTGTTATTTTTTGATGTTCCTCAGCTTTTGATACTGTTGACCATACTATTCTCTTGAGACTGCTGCATCTTTTTTTTAATATTACTGATTCTTGTCTATCTTGGTTTTCTTCTTATCTCTGTAATCGTTTTTCTTCTGTTGTTCTCAATAATTCTACTTCTAACTCCCCTACTCTTACTTTCGGGGTACCTCAGGGTTCTATCCTTGGCCCTCTTCTATTTATACTCTATACTTCTGAACTACATCGTATTATTAATAACTTTTCTTTCTCTAGTCAACTATATGCTGATGATTCTTACATTTATACTTCTTTTCTTCTATCTAATCTCATTAGTGTTCTTCATAATTTATCTCTATGTCTTTCTTCAATTATCGCTTGGTCTGACTCTATGTGTCTTAAATTTAATCCTTCTAAGTTTGAATTAATTTGTTTTAATAAATCTAAACACTCTATTACTATTCCTCCTTTTATCTTACCTGATTCTAAAACTCTTGATGTCTCTCATAAATTTCGTAGTCTAGGTTTTATCTTTGATTCTACAATGTCTCTCTCTTCTCAGATTAATAGTGTTGCTGGAAGCTCTTACTTTCATCTACGTAGAATAAAAAAACTTTTGCCTTTTCTTGATGATCCTACTTTTCTCCTTCTTGTTATTTCGTTAGTCTTATCTAGGATTGATTATTGTAACTCGCTCTACTATGGTTTTCCTGACTCTATACTCTATCCTTTAAGTAAAGCTTTTAACTCTGCTGCTCGTCTAGTTGCTCGTGCCCCTTTCTTTTCTCATATATCTCCATATCTTGTTCTCTTGCACTGGCTACCTATAAAATATAGAATAATTTTTAAAATTTGCACGTTCATGTATAAGTCTCAATCTAAATTATTTCCTAAGTATTTATCAGATATATTAATTGAACCTAAACGCCCCGGTTTACGATCGTCTTCTTCTTCTCGCTTTTTCTTAACTCGTGTTAAACACTCTTTTGCCAAATCTGCTTTTGCTTTTTCTGGTTTTTTTCTCTGGAACTCTCTACCTACTTCTCTGACTATTTCTCCATCACTTGCGAAGTTCAGAGCGGATCTCAAGACCCATCTGTTTTCAAAATTCATTGAGGAGCGCTGTTGAACATCGCGGAAATAGCGCTTTATAAGCTAATTGATTGATTGATTGATTGATTGAATGCTGTCAGCACGACGATCTCAAATCAGCTCGGCTATACGTAGCATGGATATTATATATATCCATGATACGTACACCAGAAAAATGATACTAAATATGCATAAACATTATGCAAATGCATGAAATAAACCAATTAAAAAATAATTGAGATAAATAAACTTTCCAAAAACAAATATCAGAAATGTAAAAAGAGATGAATGGAAACCAAACTCTAAAGCGCACTAAAAATGTGCGCCAGTGCGTTCGAGGGCCTAAGTAAAAATTCTAAGTATATGTATCCTTTTGACTTAAAAAAAAAACTAAACTCTTTTTTTTCACGATCTCTCGCATAATTTGTTGGCCTAGTTTTTCCTGACTATGACCACGAATAACAACGTTATTAATTCGGCATTCCATCCTGCCTTTTAAATTTTCTCCCGTTTCGGTGCGGAGGCCGTCATCTAAAGTTGTAAATTTTTCAGTACTTATTACTATTAAAATTTGTGAATTTTTCAGTATTTATTACTATTAAGATGGTTTTATTGGACAATCAGAAAGTTTACGATGTTGCTATAGTCGTAGAGGCAACTTCAGGCGCCGCTGATTATTATGAAACTATGAGGACGTCGTACCTGCTGCCGATCTTGGAGTTCGTTTCACTTTTTGCTTCGTTTGTTCCTCTCATTAGAATTGGATTATTATTATTATATTGGGGCTTTTATTTAAATAAAATTTAATAATTAAAATTAAAATAATTACTAAAGCGTGCCCTTTTTGGCCTTTTAATTTAAATTTGAAATTAAGCTTTTAGAATTAATTAAAAAATTAAATTAAAAGCCCTTTTTTAAAAAAGAAAAGGGTTCTCCTTTTTAAATAACTTATTTTTATAATATAATTGATAATTCTATTAATTATTTATTTTCTTTTACTTACTTAATAGTTTCATTTCTTACTAATAGTTTACAACTACAGCTGCATACATGCTACTACTACACACACACACACACCAACATATGTAAGAGAAGCAGTACCATGAAGCACATTTTTGTATTGAGACTTGAATTGTAAATTGCATTTGTTGACTAATTCAAATTTTCAGATTTTTTAATGGTCACAGTATAGATGAACCAGTCTATGGATATTGTGTAAGTTTTTTTTATATTTTTGTGACATCATTGTATCTCTATGAGCATTTACATTGTATCTTTACATTATAGATTACATCCTACTTCTAGTTTTGTTTTCATGTAATTTTGTCAAGTCAAACTCAGATTGGAACATTTCATTAAATTAAACTGTATTTATTTTATATATATATAAATAAGGTCTTTTTTAAAAATATATCAGGTGTTTTACAGGGTTTTTTGAAAAAAAACACTAAAAATTAGTGGCAATAGCTGTCTCCCTGCAAAATTTCTGCTTTCTGAAATTTAGCATGACTAAACTTTCTGTTGTGCAGACTAGTTGGAACTTGTGTGTGCATGTGTATGTGCAGTAAAAATACATGCACACACCTTAATATATATATATATATATATATATATATATATATATATATAATTCATATATATATATATATATGTAAGGATATATATATATTAATATATATATTATTGAAACATTTATGAAGCGCTAATTAAACCAATTTCAAAAGCGCTATCTAACAAAAACTGAACTTCGCAACATAATTGAGATAACAAACGAGAAATCATAATGTATCGTACAGAAATAAGATTAAAATTTGGTCATAAACAGAAAAAGTAATTGATTCAATATAACGAAAATACAAAATAATATTTAGAACATGTCGACTAAACAGAAAGAATTGATCAATAATGCATTACAATGAAAATAGATGAGTTTTCAGTTTTTTCTTGAAATCACATAGGTTTTGGTCCGGATTTCTGATAGCAGCAGGCAGGTTTTTCCAAACAGTTGGTCCAGAAGCAGCAATATTACGAGAGCCCATATGGAGACTACTCATTGTTGGGACCAACAGCAGGTTTGAAACATCGGATCTCAGGTGTACTCCAGATGCTTTTGAAGATCTCTTTTTGAACCCGTCAGACAAATAAGATGGAGCTAGACCGTTGACAGACTTGTAGACAAGTGTTGAAATTTTGAACAACACTTTTTTGTCGACGGTTAGCCAATGAAGTTCTTTCAATATTGGAGACACATGGTCGTATTTTAGAGCTCCAACAACAACTTTTGCGACTTGATTTTGTATTGACTGCAGTACAGCCATGGATCGATCAGGTAAGTCATAAAACAAACTTTTGCAGTGGTCGAAGCGTGAATGCACAAATGCATGAACCAACGTCTGTAACGTGGATGCATCTAGGGATCGTCGAATTTGATTGATTTTCCTGATTTGAAACATGCATTCGGCTTAGAGCTTCTTAATGTGTTGTTTCATTGACAAATCTGAATCAATTATGAAACCCTGATTAGCTGCTGTCTGACAAAATGGGATGACCTCATTATTAACAGTTATTGAATCTATGTCTATTCTTGAGAGTTGCTGCCATGTTCCGAGTCTTGTTTTGGTTTAGTTTTAGACCATTGTTTTGCTTCAAAACATTGTTTTGCATCCACTTATTGACCCCAGACAAACATTTAACCCATTTTTCCAATTCTGATTTAAAAGAATCTGGTCTGCTCGTAACAATAATTTGTAAGTTGTCCCCAAAAGCATGACCTGAAAAACAAAATGATTCTATTACCTTTAGTACTTCAGATGTATAGAATAGGCCCTAGAACCGAACCTTGTGGCACACCAGACAACATAACATTAACCTCAGACAATTTACCACCGAATGATACCTGTTGTGATCTACCTACCAGATACGACTCAAACCACCTCAGAACAGCACCAGAGATTCCAAAACTGCAACGTAGTCTTGTTAAAAGTACTTTGTGATCTACGCAATCAAATGCAGATGACATATCAAGAAAGACTAGCCACATTTTGTTCATCATTTGCCCCGTACACTTCTGAGAAAACTTGCAAAAGAGCAGTTTCAGTCGAATGGTACTGACGAAATCCAGATTGAAATTTCGGCATTAAATTGTTTCTTGTTCAAGTAACTGAGTGTTTGCCTGGTAACCACACGTTCGATAATTTTGGATAGGAAAGACAGATATATATATATATATATATATATTTATATATATATATATATATAATGTTTATATATATATATATTTGTTTATCATGTATAGTATTTATATTTAGGATGAAGCCAGGTTTGATTAGATTTGAATCAGTTGAACTTTAGACTGCTTTTATATCTTTATTAGCTTCCTTAGATTGATCTCTAACCATGCATAAATCTTTGTTAGATGCATCTGCATTAGTAATTTAATAAAATGTAAATCTAACTCCCAGTTCTGATGTATTGATAAATACATACATAAATACAAACCGTTGTATTTGTAAAAATCTCAATTCTTCAATCAGTACAATATACCAATAGATAGAAAAATACATACATTGAAAACTATGTATATTAATGATTCTAATAACATATTTGAGATTTATATACAGACATCACACATGTTAATAAATTTTGAAGTACAAATTTCTGGATCATTAGTCAAAATATCCACACACTCATCTCCAATAGTCCATCTGTTTCATGGTATCCAACAGGGGTCTGTACTTGAACCACTCTTATTTACAGCTTATATTTCACCTATCGGCAGGATCATTGAAAATTATGGCATACGTTACCATCAATATGCGGATGATACTAAACTTTATACATCATCAAACATTAAAGATCTTCCTTCAAATATCAACATCCTTACCACATGCATTTCATCGATGGAAGAATGGTTTCTACATAATTATTCATAATTCAACTCCAATAAAACCGAACTCACAACACTGGGTTCTTTCTACTCAATAAATGATGTATACATAACTTAAAATCAGTCCAACTAGGAGACACCTTAGTCCCGATATCTGTCAAACTAAAGAAACTTAGATTAGTCTTAGATAAAAAAAATTAAGTTTTTCAAATCACGTTACGTCAATAGCAAAATCCTGTAATAATCATTTAAGGGAAATACGACATATTAGACAGTTTCTTTCTACCGCTTTGTCTAGTGATCTGGCACGGTGTTTGATACTGTCCAAATTGGACTACTGCAATTCTGTGTTATATGAATTATCTAAAAGTCAAGAATTACGTCTCCAGAGAATAATGAATAAAGCCGCTAGAGTAGTACACAATTCAGATACACCGTTACATCGTCTGTCATCAACGACCTCGTCTAATCTCATGAACTTCTATTGGCTTCCATTTCACTTTCGAGTTTTATTCAAAATAGCTGTCATCGTCTTCAAACATTCAATCTCGCATTCACCTTCATATCTCGGTGATCTTCTACATAGTAATACAAACAATCGTCAACTTCGCTCTGCCATCGCTCTACGTTTTCATCAGCATAAAACAACAAACAATAATTCCGACATGCTGCTTCTCATGTTTGGATTTCGCTTTCGCCAAAGTTTAGGAACTGCAGCTCTACACAGTCATTCAAGTCGTCAATAAAAACTTTTATTTTGATAGAGCGTTTTCAAACGTCTGACAGAGGATGTTTTTTGTTTTGAGGGCAACTCAGTCGCTTGCCAGGGCGCTTTATAAGTCATCATTATCATTTGGGGTTAATGTCTGGCAATTTCAAACTAATTAACGTCATTCATCCTCTACTACCATCAATCAAAACTACTACACACATCCTTTGTCAACGCAACCAAAAATATCAAGTCGCCACTCAGGGAAAGACCTTCATCACAAGACACCTTAAACATATTAGCACTCAATAAAACTTTATCATTCTCACAATCTAATTTTTACTTATCGATCACCTCACTAACTCACTAAGTCATTATCTAGTCTACCAATAAATTACTTTATTATGTTGCCTTTTTATACTATTACTTTTTTATTTACAATATTTTTCATTTTCAAACATTTTCTTCTCCGTTTTTCATTTATTTATTTATTCATTCATTCATTCATTCATTCATTCATTCATTCATTCATTCATTCATTCATTCATTCATTCATTTTTTCCGTTACCATTTTTACTACTGCTTTGAATGATGTAACAGCTGTCTGTCAGATCCTGATTTTTTAAAGAATAATGAAAAAAAAATTAACATATAATTATTAGGATGGTCACATTAATTTGGCATAATAAAAATATTTGAAATAAATTATTAATTTATTGTACAGCCAACAGCTTAGCTAGCCACAGAAGCGGGTTTGTTTAAAACTGTGCAGTTTCACCACACGCACACACAAGTTCCGACTTGTCCGCACAGGCAGACTTTAATTTAATTTGTCAGGCTAAAATTCAGAAAACAGAAATTTTTATTACAATGATATTTATCAAGACAATATATCACTCTCTGCAGTGCAACAGCTCTCTGTACAGTTTGATAACTTACAAAGGTAATGACCATCCATTCAGTAATATGAGCACTTGCTCTTCCCCCACATACAACTGCCACGAATTTGCTCAGACGCTGAATCAAATCAGGTTTAAATACAAACTTTACACTACGTGTGTGTGTGGTGTGTGTGTGTATGATGTATTATTAAATGGAGATCAACATAGATTCATCATTGCGTGTCTATTATTGTCATTGTTGTTGTTATTGTTATTATTATTATTGAAAGTGAAATGTTATTACTTGTTCTCTGGTTTCATTTAAATTTAATTTAATTGCCGCATTACAAAATTTGTTAAGTCAGAGTTGAGTTATGCAATTTGAGGCATCCAATCTATTTCTCTTCTAGATTTTAATTGCATCCGTGATTGTTCTTTACATTATTTACAACGAAAAATTATTTAAATTATCCATTAAATACTTAATATATCAGTTAAGAAAGCCATATTAAGCATAAAAATCAAACTTTGCCAGACTCTTGGTACAACAATTTAAATATATATTGGCTGAAGTTCACAAATCAAATTAATAACTTTATTTGGCTCTCGATGAGTCAGATTAAAGTTTTGTTGGTAAGATCTGCAAGGCAATGGTGTGACGATGGAGCGTGCAATGATGGACGGTCAGCTGCTTGTAGACAATTAGCTTTAACTGGGGCAGCAAGTCCAGACCCAACATACTTGGCGTGCCATCTGTAGAGGCAGAATTTTACCTTGATAGCCAATCAAACTTGTATTTACAACTTGTATTTATAAGAAAGTTTTTTCAATTGATTCGAAATTATTGCACACACGTTAGATCTTTGTTGACTGAAAAATTTTTGATTATAAATTGTCATCAAAATTAATTTGTTATTAAGGAAATAATAACATGAACCTCTGAGCTGGAGGATCAAGGATCAATTGAGTGTGTTTCATGCCTGCCCACATCCCATATATGCAATGCGTGGCTTCTTGAGCATGTGCATTACAGCTGCTCACCAATGCAAGCAGTGGTCATTGCGAATACAAAGCTTATTGAACATCTTAGTCATTATAATTGAACACAGAAGGTAATGCGCTTATATTTTACATGAAAAAACTTTGTAAAAGTTGTAGATCATCATATAACAACTGAGTTTCTGTATTCACGCTGGAAGAGTAATAAACCCAGTTTAGCTATTGCTTATTTGTAATTATTTAGTTTTAAAATGGTCAATAAGCAGTGAAAAAAGCAAAATGATACTTTTTAAACTAATAAAATTATAACAAACACCGGATTTGTAATTATTTACTCTTAGTACACATTTTTGGGACACCCTTACAATAAAAATGTGGTTATAAATCTAGCCTGATGTGAAATTTTAGGCAATCTACTGCCCACAAGTTTGACATCCAGGAACATGATCAATTCCATTTTGATCAAATAATCTACACATATGAGATATAAATATGTTTTTTGTTATGAGTTATAAAACTGGCAAAGTTGCAAAAACATTTTTTGAGTTCCTTTTTTCATTTTTTCAGTAATTTGTTTTAACGAATAATTTTGTTTAGAACAACATGACGCTCACATCTTTATTCGAATATAACCATGTTCACGTCTTCCTTCATAAGTTTTTCAGGTGGTATGCTGGATCCACATTCCTTCATCGCCGAGGGGCTGGCCACAGCTTTGAGTCTGTTTGAGGATATTGATCTCATCAGGAAGAACAGGTCAGTCCAGTTGAAGAATGATACTAAATAACTCCCTTGTAGACCAGTCAATTAATAAATTAGATGACAGAAAACTTTTTTGCTATTTTGGTCTGGAATATTTATTGCCAATTCATACTTCTTAATTTTCTCTTTTCTGAGATGTGCAAGCAAAGTAGTATATGAAATGTTTTTTCGGAGGACAGAAAATAACTAAACAATTCATACATTCTTGTATATTGTTAATGTTTTTCAAAATTTTCTTCATGCTGGTTTGGAGTATTTATGTATCATCCTTTTATTTGAACTTATTAATTATTTCTGCTCCAAGCTAGTGCTGTTGCAAGCGTTCATTTGTTCTCTTTTACTTTGATACTTTTATTAATTTTATTTTTTTCTCTTGAAAAGGGTAAAGGCTGAAAAGCATCTCATTTTGTACTGCAGCAACGGTCCTTACCAATTTCCATGCCTCGGTCATTACAAATATCTCAACAAAACCACGGAACAACTTGTCAACCTTCTGGCTGAGGTATTTTCTGTTGCTTTGCATATATGTATACAATTTTCTATTTGCAATTGTGATGGATGTTGTGTGTGGAAACATAATGGAGGGGTTTTTATTTGAGATTTTGTATGCAGATTATTTAGTCTTGATGGCTGATAGCATGGAAGAGTTGCAGTTAAAATTTGACAGATGGAAAAGTGTTATTGAAAAGAAAGGGCTAAAAGTTAATATTGGTAAGACGAAGGTAATGGTGAGTGGGGAAGGTGGGGAGCGAGTGATAAGTAAAATAGACCCCTGTGGGGTATGTGACAGGAGAGTTAAAGCTAACTCGGTATTGTGTATAGGATGTCAGAAGTAGGTGCATAAGAGATGTAGTGGTGTGAGGGGGGCACTGAAAAAGGTGGAAGGCACGTTCAAATGTAAGAAATGTGTTCATGGTGTGATTAATAGGACGGACGCAAGGACGGGGTTGAGTGGTGGTATTGAAAGATTGGAAAGCTTTGTTTACTTAGGGTATAAGCTGAACGCAGATGGAGGATGTTTGAGCGCAGTTACGGCTAGAGTTCGTGTAGGATGGATGAAATTTAGGGAACTGGGTGGGGTATTGTGTGGAAATAAATGGTCAGTGAAGATGAAAGGGAGGGTAAATAAAGCATGTGTGAGAGCAGCGATGGTATATGGTGGTGAAACTTGGGTATTGAGGAGAGAGGAGGAAAGTGTACTGCAGAGGGCTGAAAGAGCTATGGTGAGGATGATGTGTGGGGTTAAAGTGAAGGATAGGAGGAGTAGTACAGAGCTGATGTCAATGATGGGACTGAATGAGGACATTGTGACATTGATAAGGAGATCGAGATTGCGGTTGTATGGACATGTGTTGAGAAGGGATGAAAGGGTCGGGATTAGGCGAGCGTTGGAGTTCGAGGTTGAAGGAGTGGTAGGAAGGGGTCGTCCGCGATTGGGATGGAGAGAGCAGGTGGAGAAGGACAGGGTGAAAGCGGGATTGCGTGATACTGAGTCGAGTGACAGATGTAGATGGCGTCGAGGGGTATTTCGGTTTCATCATAGGTAGCCAAACGGCAACCCCCGATCTCGGGGAAAATGTCTAAACGTGTGTTGTTGTTGTTGTTGTTTGCACATATGTATAAAACTAAGCATGATTGTAACAACTGCTACTGTTGCGGTATATTTTTTTTGTCTAAATCCAAATTATTTTTTTTTCTTTCAGAGCAACATACATTTTTCCATCATATCCACTAGAAAGATCCATTCACTGGTGAAGCTTTTTGAATTGGTGAGTAATACTTTTAGAAATATCATTATTAATAGTGTTATTTTTAAACACTTTTTTCTACTTAACATTTCTTATAGTGAACATATTTTGATTCAATATTTTAATGCACAAACATCCTTTTGTGTTTTTTTTCGCTATTATCGTCTAACTCAGTTTGCACCCTGTATGTACACAGATAAATAATGGTAAGCATAATCATATTGATCCTTTTCTTTTTAAAATATTTTTTCATCTATTTTTAGCTGAATGTGTACATACAAATTTTATTTGATGTCGTTGCATATAAATTATGTCTCCATTTTCATTATTTAATACTGCGCAGTTTAATTTATTGCAACCTATGGCAATCTTCCTCAACTTGGGAGTGTTGCTGTGGGATGAAATGTGATGCATCATGACACTAGTATGAAACACGTTAGCTGGATTGCTGGGAGAGTGCCACTTGCAGCAGTCTTCAATTATTGTTAAGATGCTCTGAATTATTCAAGTTGGCATCTCATCTTGTTAGCATATGTGGCTTAGCTGGCAAGTATAGTCAGGCGTCTTTCAACTCTTTGATTCAGTTTTACATTTATCAAGGCGACTCATTCATTCATAGTTTGAATGTAGAAATCAATTGATGTGACGAACAGTATTTGGAGAATTAAATAATTACTTGGGTAGCACGATGGGGTAAATGCTGAGATGCATGTTCCTGATAACCTGCGTTTTGGTAACTGAGCTCGATTTCAAAAAGATACTCAGAATTGTATTCTACGTTCAATAACGTATATTGATTTTCAATTTGTGCATTGTAGTTGGTTTTATCTCGGATTTAATGAGGAGTGAACCAAACAAATACTTAATGAAGTAAATACTTTATAAATTCGTCATTAGAGGATGTTATAACAAAATTTTTCTCGATTGATGTTATTATGATACAACATTGGTAAACAAATCATCATTTATTCAATTAATTGCCAGTGAAATTTTTGACAAATTGAATGCAGGGCCAACCAGACCCCTCGTGTCTAACTAAGAACTACGCGTCAGATTCCACGCATCTCGTCCTCCTGAATGACATCAACATAACTGGTTAGAATGTTTTATTCCTTGCGCGAGTCCACGAGATGATTACGTTAGAAACTGCCTCTTGTTTGGTATTCGTTATTTATCATGATTGTATACTATTTAGTATTTTGTAATTTCGTTTTTTGAAATGCCAGAATGTCCCCTGAGCCCCAGTGCAAAGTCATCTGACGAGTCTAACATGGCAGTCAAGCCAGGTAGGTCAAAATGTTTCACGTTTCTGTATTTGATGTCTGCGTTGGTCATAACTTATTGGTAGCGTTAATTAAAAGTCGCATTTGTCATTGTTATTGAAAGCATCGGTCGTGTTAGTTTTCATATTAGTGTGGATTGTATGAACAAGAAATTGTTCTCGTGAGCCAATTTTATTCCACTGGGTCAATTTAAAACTTCTATTTCTCTGCATATCAAGAGGTCAAATCGTTAAATTATCCTTACCAGGATGTTTAGTTTTTCTTGATCTACAGACAAAGTTGTATGTTTGCTAAAGAAAGTGTTGCATGTGTCATGCTGCTTGATCTTTTGGATGTTTCTGGATGGCGAGATGGTGCAGTTGTACAGTGTCCAGTTGCCACTCTCTGGCAGTGAATGCACTCAAGTGCAAAAATGATTCCAAGCAATCACACGCGTATATCGTATGTTGTCTTGCATGTATGAATTTGATCCAGTGGCGTCTCATAATCTGCGCATAGGACGCCATGAAAATTAAAAATTTTTTTTTATTTTTAATCAATATGTTCATTTCATATGGACCATGATAATATAACTTCTAATTAATGTTTTTTCTTGACCAGCCACAACCATTCCAGCTCCAAAATCAGTCTGCATATCCATCGTCAGACCTCAGGCAGGCACCTTCTTACTCCATCAATATCTTCCTTTTTAATTTATTAAACAAATAATTTTATAAATACAACAAATGAGTATTTGTTTTTATGGTTGAAACATTTTTTATGATTATTAAATAGAGTTAAGACTGAAGTTTAAAAATGCTGAAGCGATATAACTGCAAATTTACAGCAAGGCATGTCCCAGAACATTTCAGCAAACAAGGAAGCAGTTGAGACATTTAGCATCAGGCCAGTTGCTAGTTAGTGCCAGCCATGTTTGTTTGTTTGTGTGCGTGCGTGCTTTTTACGTGGGTGTATATGGGTTTTGGCTTTAAAAAATTTTTCAATAATTTTTTATCAGAAAATGTTTTTCAATAAATTGTTGTTTTTTTTATTGTTCCATATATTTATACTTTGCCTATATTTCATGGAAGTGCTAATTGTTAACGAGCATTTTATGTTTAGTTATTTTATTAATGCATCTTCGCTTTTTTAAAATTTATCTTTGCTGCTTGGTAGTTTGTCGTATATTCATTTAATTAATTTTTAAAACTCAAAGGTAGAAATTGATCACATTGTTTATTGTTTTTGTATAACATTTACATTTTTTCACTGAAACATTTTAATATTTATCTTATTGGAGTGGATAAAAATTTATTTGAAATCTGAATTGATTGTGACCTCGCACTGACAAGATCTGTCGGCAGTTCCACAGCAGCAGCAGCAGATGTCAGTTCAAGCACCAAATTCAGTTGCTCCCGTTCACCCTCTTACATTCACTGGCTCTCCGGCCACACCAACTGCTGTTAGTTTTTTTTTTCAAATTCCTTTATTTGCTCGCCACTGTTTGTTCTTTATCTTTGTTTGGAATTGGTGGTTGTGTTTTTTGCGTATCTTTCAGGTTTTATGACAGGAAAAATTTGATACAGCTATTTATTGAGATAATATTTTTTCGTATAATTTGGGGAAATAGCCCTGATGTACATTTAAAGCAGATAGCCAAATATCAAAATCATTTTATGAGAATAATGGTAAATTTTGAAACTTATATATCTATCATGCATTTTGTAAATTAATAAGATACACAGTGGGCCTAGCACACAAGAATTCATTTTCTTTTTTAGTATCCAAATTATTTTTTTTTGATTTGATAAATAAAGTTTAGTTTGATTTGAAGTAAATTTTATGACAAATGTTTTTCTGCCTGAATGTTTCCAGACGTATTTGAAGTTACTTCAAATATTCTTTGTACTTTTGAAGATTTTTATTATTAAATTAGTTGGTTTACGATAGATGAGTTATTTATTGCTTGTGTAGAAATGACATATTATTATTATTATTATTGTTGTTGTTGTTGTTATTATTGTTATTATTATTACATTTTCAGATTGCACTAAGAAGAGCAGCTGTGAACCAGCAACAGCAGCAGCAGCAGGCAACAATGCAGGTTGGGGGGTATCAAGCGTCTTTAGACCCTCAGAGTCAGTTAATGCAGCAGCAACAAATGCAGCAACAACAAATGCAGCAGCAACAAATGCAACAGCAACAGATGCAACAGATTCAACAAATGCCACAAAATCATCTCCAGCAACAACAATCAGACTCCTTACTGCAGCAACAACAACAACAGCAGCAACAACAACAACAACAACAGACACAATCGAACAACCTGACGAATGTAGATATCAACAATCCTGGTCCTACATTGGCTCTCGCAGCTCAACAACAACAGCAACAGCAGCAACAAATTCAGCAGCAACAACGAATTATTTGGACTGGTTTGAAATATTTTGCTTCTTGTCTTTATATGTTTGAAAATGCTTAGAGTATTAGAAGGTTTTGCTTTGCTCTCTTAGTATATCCGCTTATTGAATATAGCAGTGACTCTTCAAAAATATTGACAGGTCCACTGGAATGGACAGATAAATTGAAGAACCAGTCAGTTAAGATAACACGTACCTTACCCTGCCAGATCAACATTAATCAAGATGAACCAGAAATGTTAGTTGATGATTGCTTGCTTGCTGCTGTTTTTTGTTGATTAATAATAATTTAAACAGCTAGCGTGAAAATTTCTTCTTCAGAAACACCAGTAAGTGGCCAGAAAAATTGACAATGAGCATATTTCCGCCATCTGTCATCCAGCCATTGCAGCACTTGTTCAGAAGTTCAAGGACTGTTCTCTTCAATTTTAACCAAAACTCAGATACAGAGGCGATGAACAGTCTCTACAGGTCCCTATCAAATAATTTTGTTAGTTTTTCGTTTTTACTACTTTCTCAGATGTATTTGTTTGAATCAGTAGTAGAAACTGTATACATTCGGCTTGGGCCATTTTTAAAGGCCGAATAATGCAATTTCCGTTCAAGCCATCACTTTTTTAGATTCCAGAACAATAATTGTCGATTGGCGGGAAGTTTCTTTTGGCCATAGTTGTTAAAAAATCTAAATTTGAACAAGAGGGTGAATATTATTTTTATGAAGAATTTTTGATAGCAAAAGTAATATATATATAATATATAAAAGGAGATGAAGATGAAAGGGAGGATATATAAAGCATGTGTGAGAGCAGCGATGGTATATGGTGGTGAAACTTGCGTATTGAGGAGGGAGGAGGAAAGTGTACTGCAGAGGGCTGAAAGAGCTATGGTGAGGATGATGTGTGGGGTTAAAGTGAAGGATAGGAGGAGTAGTACAGAGCTGATGTCAATGATGGGACTGAATGAGGACATTGTGACATTGATAAGGAGATCGAGATTGCGGTTGTATGGACATGTGTTGAGAAGGGATGAAAGGGTCGGGATTAGGCGAGCGTTGGAGTTCGAGGTTGAAGGAGTGGTAGGAAGGGGTCGTCCGCGATTGGGATGGAGAGAGCAGGTGGAGAAGGACAGGGTGAAAGCGGGGTTGCGTGATACTGAGTCGAGTGACAGATGTGGATGGCGTCGAGGGGTATTTCGGTTTCATCACAGGTAGCCAAACGGCAACCCCCGATCTCGGGGAAAATGTCGTCTAAACGTGTGTTGTTTTTGTTGTGTATATATATATATATATACATATATGAGGAATATATATATATATATATATATATATATATATATATATATTCTATAAATTCTACCGAATGTTTGGCGTTAATATGTTTGTAGTTCGTTTTTTCAATTTTTCTCACTAAAGTTTTTTGGTGAACGTTTAGTTTATTAAAATTCAAAATAAACTTGTGCTGGTTGTAGCATGATCGTTAATGTTGGTTATATTTTTTAGTATGAATGGTGTGATGTTACTTTAACAATGATTTCATAATGAAGATGGACTTTGTTAATGTTTCTGTCATGGCAGAGTGGATGCATTCATTTTTCAACAACTCCTGAAACCTCAAACGACATCAAAGTGCTGATGCTTCTCTACAGCAATCGCAAGCAACAGTTCCTTGGGTTGATACCTTATGATCAGGCAAATTTTCTAAAATCAATCAAATCGGTCATTGCCAAACACAAGGTTATGAAGGTTGGTTGTTCATTTGTTTGCTCGTTGTTCAGTGTTTTGTCTCAATTAATGATGCTCACTTTTGCATTCTAAAAATGAAAACGTGGGTGGGCCTTGTCCTCGTTTTGATGTCATCATTTTCACATTACTTATTATTACATCTGTACTGGATGAAAGTTAGATGCATTATTATACATTATTTAACAATCTAATGCCATCATGCACATTTTTCTGGCATTTTTATTCCAGGCGGAATTTTTTATTTGATCTCTTCATTTTCATGTTGTAGTAAAAATTAACTCTATAAGATAACTCTATTAGTGTCTTCTTGCATACAGGATTGCACTTGTAAAACGATTTTATAATGGTAAGTGTGAATGGTAATTTAATTGATGATTTGTTGAGTGAATGAATGAATGAGTTAATGAATGAAAAATTATTCAGCCTCAGAACCCTGGAGAGATGGTAGGCACTTCCGCTCAATCAATCAATCAACCAACTCTTCAACATCAACAGGTGAATTGCTGCTAATGTTCTATTCAATTATCATCGACATCGTACCTATTGACCTGTCCGTGCAAATTTATTTCACCCAGAGTTTCGGAGTCAGCTGATAAACAGCCGACCCCGGCCGCTCAGAAAATTCTGACACCGGGTTTTGACTCTCAGAAAAATTTTTCAACCTTTACATTATAATTTCACCCTCACCTTATTATCACTACTAAATAAAAAAAAATAATTGACTAAATAAAAAATTCCGACACTGGTTTTATCAGTTTAATGAAGCATGAGACACAATAATTATTTTGCAAATTAGATAACGTACCAGCAGAACATGCAAGATCCTCGGCAGCAACACATGCTAGGTTTTTGTTGTTTTCCATTCCGTCTTTCCGTCGTTCAGTTGATGTTCTTTAAATTATTGTTTAGTTTGTGTTTAAACAATTTTTGTTGGGGTTTTTGTGTTTTAATACCGCGGATGAAATAGATTCATCTGTTTATTATCATTGAGTGGTTAGTAAAACCAAGCAATCAACAATCAGACAGTTTTGAGTATCTCGCGTTTTACGTTTGATATTCTTCCGACCTTTAACCGTCCAAAATTTTTGATTTTTTGTGAGATTTCACATTTGAAGTTTTGAATTTAAATTGAATCTTTTTATTTCCGTTCACAGCAATCCAACAGCAGCAACAACTACAACAACAACAGTTACAACAACAACAATTGCAACAGCAGCAACAAATGCAGCAGCAACATTTGCAGCAGCAACAAATGCAGCAGCAACAACAAATGCAGCAACAACGGATGCAGCAAATGCCACAAATGCATATCCAATCTAACAGCCAACCACTCAGATACCTGCTTCTCAATCAGGTATATAAAAAAGCAATTGTTATTTCATGTTCTTTATGTCATTATTATTTTTCATTTTATTCAACAATCAATTTAATCGTCTATGGTGTTACTGCGATTTTGATTGCATCATTTGTTGAAAAGTTATTCTCAGCAACAAGATCTATTTAAATGTTTGAAATTTCAGCAACGACCTCAACATCACATGATGAACCGGCCGAGAGGTCCTGCAACTACATTACAACAACAACAACAGCCTGGCGTTCAAACATTCACCACTATGGCCACAGATGACTTTCCTCCATTTGATTTATAATTTTTTTGTTCAACTTATATGATCATTAAACGAAACGACCATACTTTAGAAGTAATTTTTTGAATGTATATTTTTATTCCACAACGCGATAGCTGACCATTGTAATGTCCTTCAAATCGATTAATTTGCGGTTTTACTGTTTTGTTTTTAGCAAAAAAAACTCTTTTTATTTTACGCTTCGCGTGTTTTTGTGGCATAATGTTTTATATATACAATAATGGAGCGGTCTATTTTTTTTATAATCAATCGACCATGAGAAATTTTGTAGTGTAACGTTCGGGAGTTATGTTCGAAAGTTTGAATGTTAGATAACACGTCGCTGTACTTTGGTTTAGAGGAAATAAGGAAAATTGCAAAAACGTTCAAGAAGTTGGTGGAAGAGTAATCAAGATTGAACATAGAAAACTAATCTTATTGCCAAAACCAGTTGACCACGCGAAGTTCTGTGGTGTGTTTGTAAGCCAGACAAAAAATCTTCTGTTGGTATCATCTAACGATGGATATATTTTAATTTTGTTGGGTTGTGAAGGTGTTTGGTTTGATCCAGTTTTGGTTGTGATTTTGGTTGAGTTGATGACAATTATGGTTGTTGTTTGTTCTGGTATTCTTTTGAATTTATCGGTAAGTTTTGTTCTATTCGATTCATTGTTGAATATCTTCCGCTGAGCAGGATTGAGGATGTGACAGAACGCATAGCACTGTTTTTGCTTCGTCATTTATTACACATAATCCAGCTCGAGGTAAAATTTCGGATGATTTTATGTGAACTTTTAGTATCCATCGGAGCATTTTCATATTGGTACGGTAAAGTCGCTGTTCGAGTTTAGCCACCATTAGTCATGTTCCTGCACCGTACGACAACACGGGACACATCACTAAATCGTTGAATAGCGGAATACTATTTATTTTACCTCGAAAGTATGCAGGCTCGAATGGCATAGATAATTGAAATAGATCCTTAGATAATGAAATGACGTAACCGTTTCGACTCCAATTATATCTTGTACTCGTTTTTGTTAGTTGATGCAAAATTTACTTTCGATTGTAGACTCTTTTAGCGCAACGCTTTTGACACCACTTTTGACCTTACTAACATATGTGTAATTGAATTGATGCCCACACCAGTTCTGCAGACTGAACAAGACCAGAGTTCAATTTTTGTGCATTTTATAGATCATCTCTTTTGTTTTGACAAACTTGACTTTGAATCTATGGTATGATATGATGAACAATTCAAAGGATCGCCTTTGCCTTTGTATAACGTACTCGAGTTCAGTTCTGATAGCATTAAACAATTCACCAAGGTCTCGCAACAAATTTGCGGTAAATCTTAAATGCCTGCGTTGCTGGATGCTTTGACAATATCGCTCGCTAGCCCAGCTTTGAAATCTTTTATAACTTTTAAAGCTTCTGTAAGTTATTTTTCTATGATGTCTTGAATCGATCCTTCGACAAGCGAGACATCAAAGTCGACATCGATAAGATTTGTTTCATTCAATAGGTGAATTGAAGTATTGATCTCATTTGGGCACAAAGCAATCAATCAATCAATCAATCAATTAGCTTATAAAGCGCTATTTCCGCAATGTTCAACAGCGCTCCTCAATGAATTTTGAAAACAGATTGGTCTTGAGATCCGCTCTGAACTTCGCAAGTGATGGAGAAGTAGTCAGAGAAGTTGGTAGAGAGTTCCAGAGAAAAGGACCAGAAAAAGCAAAAGCAGATTTGCTTTAAGAAAGCACCAACGATGTCCTTTGTCATTCTCGTCCCGTGTTCTTCTATACGATACAAAGAATTCATCTGTTCGCTTTGCGTCAGATTCAATTTTTACCATCAATTGAACTAGACTTTATTTTCTATTTTGTACGCTTTCTTTCCATCACCAAGTATAACTCCGTTTAACCATAGCAACATTTTCTATCGTGAGTTTTTTAAATTTTCCCCCCCAGCTCCAAAGCTCATCTTATGGTTACGGTTCTTGGTAGCATCTTTTATTCCGGTTGGCGTTAATTTGATGTCAATTTTAAAAGTTTTAACGCTTAAATTGCACTTTTTCATATTAATACCACATAACCAGAATAATACCATATATATTTATGTTTTATACATTGTATACATTTTATATGCTTTCTAAGTGCATGCATTTTACTCATTAATTATTTACTTTTTTTAACCTTTATTAATAATATGTATTAACCATGGATATATATATATATATATATATATATATATATATATATATATCCATGGTTAATATACATATTAATTAGTAAAATGCATGCACTTAGAATGTATACAAAATGTATACAATGTACAAAACATAAATCAATCAATCTTCCAGTTTCGGGAGGTAGGACGTTGTTTTTTGCCATAAACTTTTTGCGCCAAATTATACAAAACATAAATAATATAAATAAATATGAATATAAATAAATAATATAACTATAGAACTAACTTGGCTCTGAATATTTTAATTTTAAATGGAAACATTTATTAATACAGGTAAAAACGCATGGCATTTTTTGTAAACAAACAAATCTTGGACCGCTTTGAAAAAAGAGTGACGACTTTGTTTTTTACTTTCATTTAAATTTAAAAGCTTCTCCTTATGCTACCACGTTTGAATATTATTTAAAAAAAATAATATGTAAAGACAGATCCATATTTACCAAAGTTTACCTGTGATATTTTCCATCGATTGTTCTAAATTTAATTTATTAATTACTGTTAAATATTTATTATAATATAAAATAGCATATATTTTAATTTAAATTAATACACACACACACGCACATATATTATATATATAATTATATATATATATATATATATATATACATATACTTGTATACAATGTATATTAAACACGTACACGCATAATTATATAATTTGATAATGTTAGTTACAAATAAATAATGATAATCATAATAGTGAGATTACCATAACACATAACTGGAGCAATGCAATAGCAGTGGGGAAGATTGCAACCAAATTAAAAAAATTGGATTTGAAACTTGAACCTGAGTAGGATTATTTTGCTGAGATATTTTATTCTATAAATACACACTATGACCATAGAATACCACCACATACGGAGATGAACATCGCCAACTTGTTGTTTGCTCATTTTATAATTCAAGTACTATTAAAATGTTAGTTGTTTTTCAATTTTCAAAAATTCAACCAAACTGTTCAAAGGATGAAAAGTATTATGGTCTATTCTATTTTATTTTTTATGGTTATCTGTACATTTTAGTCAGGCTTTTTTAAGCGTAGGTTACTTTTTTTAAGTAATGGCATTTTTTCAAATTTTTTTCATTTATATTTTTCCATTTTCAAATTTCTAATTGATATATATTATTAACATTTGCTAGTAACCAAATTTTCATAGAAAATTATCAACAAAAAAAATTTGGTCTCTAAATCAAAGTTGAAGCTAAAATTTTCATCATTTTGTGAAAATTTTCAATTTTGAATTTCAAGATTCAAAATAACTGGAAATAATATTACAAGAAATTTTATCACTAGATACACAAAAGCATGAAATAGGCAAAATTCCATATGACAAGCTAGGTGAGCCTGATAGCTTAACTTACATGCATGTTAGGCAAGCCGAAATTCATCAACTTAATTTTCGAGTTTTTTTTATATCTACCATTCATTTTATGCTTTCTCACATAATTCAAGTTTAATGATGCAGCTTTGCTGTATAAAGTCCATAACGTTTTTTGATTTAAATCAAAAACTTTTTTTTCTCATTATCATCTCACCGCTGAAATTCATTATGAAATCATAAAAGTGAAACTTTCAAGCGACAGGCACTTGTTGGGAATTGGGAAACCTTTCGATTCTAGATTATTTGAGTCTACGATGCACTTAATTGCATTATCTGCAACATTAATCAAAGGTCAAGCAGAGCCCAAAGAACTAACCGAGTTTTAATTTTAATTTTTATTTGCTTCTATAGTGTTGCAGTGTTGTTTAAATTCAACATTGTCAACCAATATTCTTTGGTCTCGTTTAAATGATACTAACTCATGAAATTTTAAAAAAAAACTTAGAAAGGGAATTGCCTCACACGTGCGCCACTTGTCACTTGTGGAAAGGTACTAAGTTTTTGTTAATCATAGTTATTCAAGAAATAAGCATCCTAAAAGATGACGAATTATTTTTAAAGCAATGTAAGGGCTAAACAGTTAGCGTTTACGTCTGATAGTGAATCAAATAAAATATAAGCAGAATGCAATTTTAGGATGAAATTAAGTTTGACCTGGCGCAAAGCAATCAAAACGAAATCAAATAATACGGGGCGGCAAATTTAAAACTCGCCTACACTGTAAAGAGAAGCTGGCCTGAGTACGTACAGTTAATGTTATTAACTTTTTGTTAATTAGATAATTATTTTCTCTTTGACGATATGCTTGAAACAAGTTCTAAATGCTTTTTTAAATAAAAATCGACAACAAACAGTGAAGAAAATTGCTTATCAATTTGCATTGCTTATTTTATTAATTTTTTATTTATTATATTACCATCATTGTTTAACAGCCGATAATAGTATAGCCAGAAGTTTTTACCGAATAAGTTACTTGTTATATTATGTTCGTCATTTTTTTTATGTGTAGATTATTTTTTCGACTTAACTCCATTAAATTCAGCTTACTTTTTTTTCACTATCTGGAGCAAAATCAAAATTGTTTTTTTGTGTTTTGTTTGTTCAATTGAAAATAAAAAAACCTCATCTATCAAATGCAGCAAATTGGATATACAGGTTTTTGTGTGCTTGCATTGTGCTTACTCAGGCTGTTGGCATTGATCAGAGGTTTTATTTAAAACAAAGGAACTTCCTTCTTTAAGAACAACTACAAAATCTGACCGTGTTTTGCTGAAAGATTATGGGCCATATAAATTATAACCGATAATAAATGGCAGCGTATAATATTTTGTTTTACCTAAAAAATCGAGAAGTTTTAAATTTAACAAATCTAATATAATTAATATAAACATTTTCTACGTAGGTTCTTTTATTGAAACTGCTTCATCCCTGAAAGCTAGATGGAACCCAGTTAATGGTAAAGTTCAGTCGAGTACGTCATGGGTTTTTGAATGCACTTTGGATTATAACGACAGCGTTATTTGGTACAAGCATGTAAAAGATATAACGATGAAACTTGGTTACAACGAAGTTATATATCCGAACTTAGCTGGGGGCATATTGAAAGCTGATAAGAAAAGTGAAGATAAAATTGTTAACACGTGGTCTCTGCTTCTAGTGGGTTAGGCTAACATATTTTTAGCATTAATTTTTGCAATCAAAACATTTGATGCTTTGAATTTTTTTAAACTAAAGGCATTAATGCCTTAATAAAATTTGTTGATGTGTGTGTGTGTGTGTGTGTGTGTGTGTGTGTTGGAAGATGACCATATTTTATACAGTATTGTACTATATATATATATATATATATATATATATATATATATATATATATATATATATATATATATATATAACAATAGTAGTGGAAACAAAGGATAAAAGAAATGTCTAATAAAATGAATAAAAAAGTGTTTTAACAAATAACCAGAATTTAAAATTTACTATCCTCCCATGCTCGATGGCGACTTAATGCATCTTTTTTGTCACAATAGATGTTAATAACAGTGTCTATTAATTTTACATCGAAGATAATTGGACATAACATTTTAAATAAAGATAAGTTTAAGTTATTATAAAAGCCGATTGGCGATAATTCGAATTAGTTAATTATTATAGAGCCGTTGATATAATAATAATAGCAATAATAATGAGAACTTCTTTGATTTCTTTGTAAAAATATAGATTTGACGTAGAGATTTGAAAAGACACGACACTGGGCGGATGCCATCATAATCCACTTAAGCAAACATCAAAATTTCCGGACACGCACACGATTTAAACCTTTCCAAAGTTATATTTAAAACTTTGTTATGACTTGTGACGCGTATGAACGTATAATGTAATGAACGTATCTGGATAAAAATAACTGAATGGAGATTTGTTATTAGTTTGATAGAAAGGTCTGGGATAATAAAGATGTTGTGCTAATTGAGTTTTGTTGTTATAAATACTTATAAAAAAGTTTCAGTATCTTTATAAGAAAAATGGTATGATTGAATATTGTTTCCTATGCAACAGCACAACACT